CCATACATACATACATACATACATGCATACATACCTAAATATCTACACACACACACACACACACACACACACACACACACACACACATATATATATATATATATATATATATATATATATATATATATATATATATATATATATTTATATATATGTATATATATGTATATATATATATATTAGTGTTTAAGGGATAATTTGTGGAATGTGTAACTTACGGAAATATATTCTGATTTTGGGTATTAGATCTGTCTAAGTCTGAGCAATCTGTACGTACCCTCACCCTTTTTCAACTTACCAGTTTCCCTCGAGGCAGAGCTGAGGCTTGCGAGAGCAACCAAAACTGATATGGACACCGAGATTGTGCCAATCGTAATAATTGCGCGGTACATGCACCCACATGTATACTTTTTGGGTATTTTTTTTCGCTGTATATTGAGTGTCATACTCGGGATTGTACTTTAGCTTAGTATGGGTAAATTAGATGTATGATACTAAAGTATACTACTCGAATATGATCATAGCAATGAGCAGTATGTCAAGTTTTGCTAATTTTCGGAATTGAAATTGGTGGGTTTCATGTATTGTTACTTTCTTTATCCGAGTTTTTATCATCGCAAGCCACCAACTGCCTTTCAATACACTTTGTGCTTTGATCGGCTTTATATCTATAATTGTCTGATTCCTATATCAGTACTGTCTAATTTACATTGCAAACATGATGGTGCTTGACTCGCTCTGTGCGCTTACCCATTTTTTTTTATAGGTAAATTTTTTTTTGTAAAAAGCATTTACAGTATGACGTTGCCTAGACAACGATGTCGTCGCGGATTTATTACTTAACACGTCTTTTTTTAAAAGTAAATTCGCCTACATACTTTGGCTGTGAAAAGTAGAACATCAGGTTCAGTAGGGAATATAGGCAATAGTTGCACATTTCAGAAGCAAACAGACGGTACCGGCGAGTTCTTATAGAGAATATGCGAGTTTACCTTTCAAATCCTACGCATTCAATCCTTTTCCGCACTGGTTGTGTCGTGGAAATACAATATTTCAGGTCTGGGTCTTTAATCTGGATACTGACTAACAAACATACCAAACCAACTTCTATTTCCCCTCACTTCTTCGCAGACCATCACCATCCACTCACTGTGTGCTTCCGCTCCACGTTAAAATAAACCTCCACAATGTCTCCCTCCGTCATTTTGACTAGTAAACATAGATGGCTCTCAAGCGCATAACAGCGAAGATGCGAGCGAAAATTCACCGGTTTATATCAGCCAATCTCCCAGTACTACGTGGTGTGCCGCAGTTTATAGAAGTATTTCCATTCATATTATCTTGATGAACATGCATAGTATAGTTACGACAAATTAGGGTGATAATCCGAAACGATACTGCAGATAAAGTGATGTTTCCTATTTTTTATTGCGTATTATATTCTATTTTGAACAAGACGAGAACGGGTTTGCCGCCGGTGTTTCCTGAACACGTGCGGAGTACCGCCAGGCACTATATCGCGCGATCTATTCCATTGTTGTGGTTCACAACCATCGCATCCGACCAGAGTTTACGTTCCTACTATACTTCCTAACTCGTAATATTTCCATTGCTATACGCAGGCATAGCTTATTAAAGCACCATCGTATTCTCATGCTAATTATGCTATTCTGCGATTGACCTTATATCCCTAACATATCAATCTAATTCTACTCCTAATTCTACCACCACCAGAGCACCGCAGTTATTCGCACGGCATACTCCTCACTATTGCTATTTCTGATAAAGTCCGTATTCCATATATGTATATACACGTTAATATATCACGGTCCGCAAACCAGCGTATACCAACTCTTTCCCCCTCACATCTTCGCAGACCATCACCATCAACTTTCTGTGTACATCCTCCCCATGCGAAAAAACTTCGCAATATCTCCTCAATCTGGCGACACACTACCCTGATATACCCTTAGGTCTGAGAACAACAGGGGTCTCTAGTCACAAAAACACACGCCAATAGAAACAGCTTCCGGCCCAATCTTTTCACACTCAGCTACACAGGCCCGATAGGTCGCTAGCTTAGCTATCAGCCTTCGACTTCATCGAAGTAGCCACGGCGGCATTGTACACCTTGATAGACTTGTGCTGCTCCAAAGGTGTGTGACTGTAGCGGCACCCGCCAGCATTCCGATAAGCACACTTTGCGCCGTAATTGCACTTCTCAGTAGGTATATACAGCGCTCGAAACTTTTCTAGGCTAGCCTGAGAGTGTGCAAAAGTACAGGTCCCGGCCTTCTTACACTTGCCCTTGGAGTCCATATGTCTACACATAACCACGCGGAAGCCCGTGGGACGCTCCTTCCACGGTAGGTTCGAGTCACCCCCGGCATACCCAGAGTTATTTATAGTATGGCTGACGGAGGGTGTGGCAGCAGTTATGCTGGACAGCGTGGGTTGCGCAGGGGTAGGCACAGACTGCTGGTTCGCTGAGAACGGCATACCTACTGTGCCGACAGTCGAACCGTACCAGTCCACCTCGGTATACTCCGACCGCTCACACACTATAGACGGATTGCTGCCACCAACTAGACCGCCAGGAGCCGCATTCAGCACCACATCCCCACCATTCAAATGTCCGTTGTGAGCACGGCTATGGGGTGTACTGCCATCCCCAATAGAATCTCCGGTATTCTCCGCATGAGTGTTCCGTACATGTACCATATAACCCCCAGCTCTACGCATCTGTGCAGGGCTACCCACAACCGACGCTGGCGCGGAGGCCGAGACAAACCCGCTCGGATCCTGGTTGTGTGCGTGTGACTCGTTGGTCGCATGGACACCATAAGAGGACCCACCACCCACCGCTCCTTCGGTCATAAACCCTCCGTTGTTACCCTGCCCGTACGCGTGCATGCCTTGGCCAGTATTTCCGTCAATGTTGTCGTGCAAACCACTACTACCAGTCCCAGAGGGCGTGCGAAACCCCCCACCAATTACATTGGTACCGAACTGCGCCTGAGGCGGTTGGCGTTCTCGTTGCGGATAGCCCAGATCGTTGCTAGGCAACGCGCAACTACCTCGCTTCCCACTCTCACCACTCCCATTGCGCGTACGGGTGTAAGGCGGTTGACGCTGAGTCTGAGTCGGACGTCCAGCGTTTTTCAGCCCTGTATCATATATACCAGAAGTGTCCGCATACTCCATACCGTTGCCGTATGCGTCATTACTACTCTTGCGCTGAGTTCCTACGTTGCCTCGGACATTTCCATTGTTCGACTGCTGCGTTCGGGACTGCGAAGAAGCTGGTGTTTTGTGGATACTGCTGTGTCTGCCGCCAGTGGAGTTCCCACCCGTACCACGCTGTAAAGTATGGTTGGGTCGTACGTGGCCATGGCCACCCTCCTCGTACAGCATACTCTCGACATACGTGGTATCCTCCTCAGTATTCGAATCATCCAGCGCGTTGATCAGATCACTGGACAGCAATTCTGAACTGTCAGACCTATCCAAGCCCCCAATTATCTGCTCATGTATGGAATCGACTTGGTTTTCGACATACTCGCTGCTACTGGCTGCAGGAATACAATATGACAGAGATCGCATCACATCCGGGCCTGGCGCGGATTCGAACGCAGCCTTCGCGGCCGCGTCCCTATCAATGGCTGCCGAGGTTCTGGCTGAAACCGATGTACTATTTACTATATTTCTATTCATGGAAGCAGTGGTGCTACCGCGCGTGTCTGCAAGACCGTGCGCATCCCCACTTGCAGTGTTTGCGGTCTTACCGTGCTTGCCGGTACCCTTACTATTTTTAGAACCACCTGCATATACCGGACTGTCGTCAACGCTCACCGCGCCGTGTACCGAACGCGCTATAGTCGGTGACGATGCATCCTCAGGCGTAGGTGGGGGTGTGAACAGCAGCGAGGGACCCATAGCCCACATCTTGCTGGTCTCCGAGCTCAACATACCCTGAGACTGGTTGTGGTTGCTAGGTTGTCCATGAGAACCTATGTCGTTGTTGAGACCCCCATTAATATCTGAACTACCTTGGTTGCTCTTGCTGATGCGGCCGTGCATATGGGCGTGTGCGCCGTTAAACACAGCTGTGTGGGCATGATGCTCTTCCCACAGCGACTGTGGGTTTATATCATGACCACCTGAGTTGTTCGAATTGATACGCCTTCCATCACCAACCCGACTATCATTCACGTTTCTGCCCCCGCTTTTCTTGGACATGCCCACCCCCGCACTACTATTTGAACTGTTCACCCGCTCTCGGCTGTAGCCATCTCCGCCTGTGTGCCCATGCGTGTTGGCGTGGTTCGATAGACTACTCTTGCGCTGTTGGGACACGCTGCCATTTCCGTTCATAGTGCCGTTAACATTGAAGCCTGCATTCCCATTGCCACCCATGTTCTCCAGAAGCTCGTAGCACACATCACACGCATCACGTATGGCAAACAGACCATCGTTCAACGACTGCAGATCGATGGGGCGTCCTTGTGCGTGCCTCTCCAGCAGCGAGTGCACGTGCGTAAACGCTGCACTGAACCGCTTGCCACCGGTAAACCACATGGGAAAGCTCGGCAGCAGGTGGTGCAACTTGCTCATAATATCGACTGACGTGTTGCCATGGTTACGGCCAGAGAGGCCTTGCCCTGAACCAGAGCCCCGTGAACTCGGAGGCGGTTGGAATACAGTCCCATCGCCATTCGTACCCAACTCCGAGCAGTTATCTCCGCTGTTGCCGTTGGCATTGATACCATTGGCATCGTATAGATACACAACCGATACCGTGGTCAGCAGCAGACGTGACATCTCTGTCAGCGCGCAGATGACATTGTCTACACCCGCATCTAGGTCCTCAGCCAAGCGAGATACCGTGCATACATTCACTAGTTGGTCTAATAAATTGGACAATCCATTAATGGAGTTGTTTCCCGTGGTCGAGGCATTGTGGTGTTCGTTGTGCAAGTGCAGGGCAGAGGTCTCTATAGCCAGTGCGGCCGCCAGGACTTTCAACTCGGTTTGCAGAGCAAGTTGTATATCGGAATCCGCACGGTGGTCTACGATCGCCGGGTTGGGGTTTGCACTCGACAAGCCGACATTAACATTAACATTGGGATTAACGCTAGTATTGTGAATACTCATCCTTTGCCGTTGTTGCTGGGCGTGCTTGTGTTGCTGTGACAACATCATGGGACTACCACGCGCTGATAGCCTGAGGGTCTAATCTTCGCCCTATACATGGTAGATATGAAGAAAACAAATCCTTTTGAGTACGCGATGATCCGCATTTATCCCGAGATAGTGCACAACGAAGTCAAATTTGATAAGCAAACACATTAATATAAATATATGACTATCATAAGAATGCGATTTGCAACCTAAACACCGGCTTTAGCGTTCTCAGAGATAGGAGCAAGACTGACGTTGATTCATGTCGAAGATTTAAAAGTACTATACGACTGAATCTAGCATTCAATATTTCATTTCAAGAAAACGTGAATAGTACAATCGGTACAAAGTTTATGACTTTGCATACAGCTAAAGAATAAGGTATGAGGGCAGCTGTCTTGAGTGACCGCAAAGAACAAAGACGATAGGGTACTAACTTGTGCAAAGGCCCGCTATATAAATAAGTTGGTATATAGGACCTCACTCGACTACCATATGCATTCTCAACTGTGTAATGTTCGATACTATATGCAATACTGCGTGAGTGTCAGTACACAATATTAGGTTACCAAGTGTCGCACAGTTTAAGATCAAAATATTGCTTCAATACGAAAAACATGTAAATAATCGAATTCTATCAAAAAATATTGAACACGGACGCTTCTGCAAATATTGATACCACAAGCAAGTTCTCACGAATCATACGCAAATACACACGATAATTAATCAACAGGAAAACGATCGTCTCACCAAGAAAAACACAAAGTAAAATAACGAACAGAAGCTTTCCATTACACCCCAATCTATATAAATATTACTCTATGTGTATGTCTTTATATCGTAGCACTCGTGAGAATTTGCATAGGTTAGGCGTAATAGCAGTCGAAATACAACTACACCCCAAGCCATACAGAAATTACTTTTAGGCGCAATAGCAGTCGAAATAGGTGGTCTGCTTACACACACATATATATAATATACATACATACATACATACATACATATACATATAGGTGAAAGATACATACATATATATATATGTATAGCTGAAAGAAATCTGATCGATGTTAGTGCGACCTAGGAGAGATATACACATATATGCGATATATATATATATATGTGTCGGGATGTGTGTATCTTGCAGTACATCACAACAACTTTGTCAGTGGCATTTTCCCCTCGTTTTTAGGCCCCAAATTTATAACAGCAAATATATTTATCATTTATGGATACATACAAAAAAAAATTCTGTATGTTCGTAACCGCATACATACAATCGAATCTAAACCAAGCAATTTCAAACTAATCTAAATCTACAGTGGCTCAGAAACTTCACTCACCTTCAAATCGACTTACATCCATACGCTCCGGACGTTCATATGCTAGGCAAACACTACGCTGATTCTAATATATCTCTATATTCTATATGAGAGAAGGGCGGATATACCCTTTTGTATATATTACATTGAGCTCTTGACCCGTATATATCTGATATCATATAAATTGTGTGATCCAGAGGATATTCGCACTGCGACTGTATATTTACACCACGAACACTTTTTGCTATACAAGCATCATGTGCGAGTGAAATTTGTATTTGCGACCAAGACTCGCCATAAGGTAATATAATATATTAAATCATATACCAGAATTGTTTAGAACTATATAAAATAAAATGATATCTCAGCGGATAATATTGTCGTAAATATATATTTATATAGAAATTTCTATTATGATGTGGTTCTTTATTTCAAAACAAACAAATAAAATAGAGTAAAGATTTTGTTCCTATATTTATTAGTCGTAATTAAATTAATTTTCGCGTTTATATTGTTTGATTTTGTTTTGTTTTTTTGAACGGTAAAAAAGTGTGTGTGAACTGTGAAGTATGGAGTGTGGACTGTGGAGTGTGGGAGTGTGGACTGTGGAGTGTGGGAGTGTGGACTGGAGTGTGGGAGTGTGGACTCATCAGAGTGTGAGACTGTGTGAGTGTGAGCCTGTGAGCCTGTGAGGTTTGATGACTGACGTCTGACGAGTCTGATGCCTCTCTTCATGTGTGGAGTTGCGACGTGGCGAAGGCGGCGTAGTATGTAGAGTATTAACCGCGAAAGGCACAGTCAGTCGTCAGACCGTCGGTTGATGGAGCGGGCCCTAGATAATACATTGTACTCTGTACCGTATTCCTATTTTATATATAAAAAATCGTATACATATCTAAAAAACTAAAAAGTCATCATCATTTTTTCTCATTCGCATTTTTATATATACTATATTGAAACAAATGAGTTCTGTTGTTTATTAAAAACACAATATAACACCAAAAAATCTTTCCGACATCATGCTTTCAGTGACCTTTTATAGAATATCTTTATTTAGAACAACTTTTTCGGCCCACTGATCGAATTCTGAAATTAAAAAATACTTAAATATACTCCTAATTTTTTTGTAATCTAAAAGAAAAAACAAACATTTTTTTTAGAACTGAGGCGGTTCCAAATTAATTTATGTTTCTGCTGTAAACCCATTTTCCAAAAAAAAAAAGGGTAGGATAAGGAGGACTCTAAATATATGTGAATACTGCATATGTATGTATTTACACTAAATATAAAGCTAATCCATACTATACAGGATAAAGATTTTCAAAAAAAAAAACAAATTTGGGTTTGGATCGCCAAAACATTAAATTGAATTTACTAAATTCAGTAGTAAAATACTAGTAGAGTACATATATTTAGAGGCATATCAGCAAAAAGAAACCCAGAAAGGAGACAACAGAAAAAATAAATAACTTGTGGCTTCAAGTATGGAAGCATAGCCTTCTGAAATGTCTAATTTTTAGAAGGCTATGATAGAAGGTACCAAAAATATTACTCCTCGTCAATCAGAGCTTTTAGTTCAACAATAGCGCAATCGTAGATTTATTCAAAAAATACACACAAACATGCGTATAAATACATAAATATAATTATAATTATATATTTTATGTGTATATGATAATATGACTATATGTATAAAAATACATAGCCTTCTATAAATAGACAAATATATTTATATACGTACATATATGTATATATATATAAATATAATATGTATTTGTACATATGTATATATATACATATATATATGTATATACACATATATATAAATATACACATATATATAAATATAAATATATACATACATACACATATATATAAATATAAATATATACATACATACATATATATATCATAGCATCCTAAAATAGAACATCGGCTATATATATATATATATATATATATTTAATTA